TGGGTCGGGGCAATCCCAAGCACAAATACAGGCTCGGTGGGGAATGGCTGGAGAGCAGCCCTGAGGAGAAGGACCTGGGTGTGATGATTGACCAGAAGCTCAACGTGAGCCAGCAATGTGCGATCACAGCCCAGAAGGCCAACTGCATCCTGGGCTGCATCAAAAGAAGTGTGGCCAGCAGGTCAAAGGAGGTGATTCTGCCCCTCTACTCCACCCTCATGAGACCCTACTTGGAGTACTGCATCCAGCTGTGGAGTCCCCAGCATAGGAAGGATGTGGACCTGCTGGAGTGTGTCCAGAGGAGGGCCACGAGGATGATCCGAGGGCTGGAGCACCTCTCCTATGAGGGAGAGGTTGAGAGAGCTGGGGCTGTTCAGCCTGGAGAAGAGAAGGCTCCGGGGAGATCTTATTGCTGCCTTCCAGTACCTAAAGGGGGCCTACAGGAGAGCTGGGGAAGGACTTTTTACTAGGGCATGTAGTGATAGGATGAGGGGAATGGCTATAAACTGGAAGAGGGCAGGTTTAGATTAAACATTAGGAAGAAGTTTTTCACTTTGAGGGTGGTAAGGCACTGGAACAGGTTGCCCAGAGAAGTTGTTGAGGCCCCATCCCTGGGGGTTTCAAGGCCAGGCTGGACATGGCCTTGGGCAACCTGGTCTAGTGGGAGGTGTCCCTGCCCAAGGCAGGGGGGTTGGGACTTGATGATCTTCAAGGTGCTTTCCAACCTAAACCATTCTATGATTCTATTACAATGAATAAAGAGTTTTAAGAAAGTCTGTAACCAGCTTTGTTTTTAATTAAATTTATATTACAAAAATCCCATCTTTTGGAGTAAATTCTTTAATAAGATGCTTAGAAATAGTACTTTCTTTAAACAGTTAGAATATATGATAACATTCTCAATTCTGGAGACTGAAGATATCATAGGTAAAGGCAGAGCGGTTGGGAGATGTGTCTGCTGAACTGAAAGTTGGACCAGATGTACAGTTTGCAATGAAAAGATCTCTTAAAGAATTAAAAATGAGCCAACGTTTGGCTGTTTTAGGACAGAAATCTTTAGCTCAGAGAGAGAGGATCCATTCGAGCTTTTTAGATTTAAATGACTTGAATAGAAGTCAAATCTAGCAGATCTAGCAGTTCATATCTATAGTTGATTTTTCTTAAACAAGTGGTATTTGAAAGTGGTAGTTGACTAACCTGGCAATACCAAGTTTCACAGAAGGAGCACAAGGGATGTGGTTTGCTATGGGTGGCTTTTCTAATTTCCTTTGTCCTTTGTTCTATGCTGCGGCTGATGGATTTTGTATTGTTTTTACTTTCATTGATCTGTCTTCAAGTCTTTCTTTGTGCCTGTGGGTAAGTTTTAGTATGCTTTACCAGCTCACACTTTCAGAAGTTAAAGACCTAATCAACTACTTCTTTTACAGGGAATGCAGAGGGCAACCAATGTTACCTACCAAGCTCATCATGTCAGCAGGAATAAGAGAGGCCAAGTGGTAGGAACAAGAAGTGGTTTTCGTGGATGCACAGTCTGGTTAACAGGTAAAGTCACAGATTTCTGAGGATCCTTTTGTTTTAGTTACTTTTCTGAAAAGCTGCTTATCTGTAGCTCCTTTTTTTTGATGCAAAGTTGAATGTTGGAACGGAATCTAAAATCTTGATTCGACTTTATTACTATTTTTAGGTATACTAGCAAGAAATTGCTCTGGGACAGATAGTAACTTGAGAATGTATTTTCTTTAGTGCTCTGGGACCATTGTTTATTTGGCATTGTCTGCTGCTTAATTCCAGTTGAGTTTTGGAGTATGTGGGTTTTTTTTGTGTGTGTTTTAACCAATTCTGGCTCTTCTTACTGTCCATTTTACCTATTAACAAATGAAACCTAACTTTTTTTTCCTGGAGTCTGTGCTTCTGAATCTTTTCTGTAAAGGTCTTTTCTCTTTGGAATGTTCTTGTCCCCTTGGGTTGAAATAACATTTCAACATAAACCTGCCTTTGGACAGCAATTGCATGTTGGGGCAATGCATACTTGGAGTTATTTTTGAAATCAGCACAGTGTTTTTTTCACTGAATTGTTTTGATTGTAAAAAGAGGGGGTAAGTAAATTGTGGAAGAGAGCTTTGTTTCATAATGGTGAGGGGATTTTTTTGTCTTTCAAAGTTCCCAGAAGCTTTAACACATTTCCTTAGGAGTTTTTTATTTCAGTTAAAACTGAAAAGAAAAGAAAATATAACAAAATGTGTTATTTAATTAGTTTGTAAACTATTTAGAGAGCTGTTATATTGCAATAGAAAAGATCTTCACAGAGTATTAGAGAAACTTAATACTCTAAGTAAAATTTGTTTCCACTATTGTTAATGAATGTGTGTAAAAGGTAAAGCAGTAGTTGATAACAAATTGCTGAGAGCCGTTCCAAACAGATTTAATACAGTAGCTTGCTGTCATGTATTTCTTTGGTAAAAGAATGGGGCCCTTTCTCTCCATATTTCTGTCACGTAGCTCCAGCCTGTGTCTCAATGCTCGAATGATCTGGTATGTTGCCTCTCTGTTTCTCCTGGTAATTCATTAATATCCTTTTAAAAAAAAGTCATGATAAAAATGTTTACTCAGTTGTCTACACGGCAACATTTTCCAGTCATCATCCTTTTTAAACAAATGTAATCTTAATGCCCAATTTCCTATTTTTTCAGGAGGAAGAAGGGTGGTGGTAGAATACAGAAAAGTAAAAAGGCTGTGAGGTACTAAGAAGACTGTGTCAGGGAAGTTAGGTTCTTGAAGATGTTTGAGCACTGTTGTTAGGTAGTGAAATGGTGTGTAGGTATTGAAGTAAGCAATACTACCCATTCTAGCACTGTGCAAACATGAATCTTCAAAACTCTGCTAGGTTTTAGTATAAAGGCTGAAATGGTGGTATATTTCCTTTGAGATTCTCTGACCTCTTTGACACTCAGGGTGAGAGCGTATGGAAAGTTATTTCAGAGATCACTTCTCATAGTTACGCTAAGATTTATTTGAGAGCTAAATTCTAATGAATGTCTTCTGCTGTCGAGTCAGAGGGTCCCAGTAAAAAAAAAAAACAAACCATGAGGAATATATCAAAAGTATGGAAAAGCATTACTTTCATGTGTAAAATAATATGCAATTTTGAGAGTGTAAGTTACTTTGAAGACTTGTCAGCTCAAAAGCTGTTTTAAAAATTCGTTCTTATATAACGTTAACTTTTGCATTTCATTACACACTGGAGACAAATAACGTATGAAAGGCAAGATCATTTGAGTGAATTGCAAGCTAGATGTGGGGACAAAAATTGCAAAGACTGCTTCAATGAGAAGTAGATGATGAAGTTGCTGAAATATTAATTTGGATTGCCATGCTTATCTTCTAGGTTGGGGTAGTACTTAATTGCTACCAAAAGAAGACTGTTGTGTTTTCAGCCTTACTTTCCTTCCCTTGCCTTGCATAAGCTGTAGTGCTTGCCCAGCCCAACCTTGAGCTGATTCAACTTGCTAAATCATCAGTGAACCTGACACAGCCTCCTCATACTCACAAAAAAGGGGAAAAAAAAAAAATTAAAAAAATTCTCAAACTGGGTTGGCACCAGAGGTAGCGGAATAATAGAGGCAGGATGGTGTGAGTGGAGAGAGGGGAGGGCAAGAGAGCAGGACCTCACCTTTTGGAAGCTGGTTCTGGCCTAAGTCATAACATTCAGCTTCATCATGTATAGCTGGTCCTCTTTTCAAAGTAGACATTGACACAAGAAACCTGAGTTGTCCAAGAAAATGTAGATAACTTTTATAAATGATGATAGGTCATTATTCACAACTCTGCAATTTTTTAATAGTTTTGAGCATGAGCCAAACCATACTGAAATCTGTGAGATGGATGCGGGGGATTTTCTTGTTGGAGAGGTGTTAGCTTAAGTGTTACCATAAGTTGGCAAAAAGATAACTTTCTAAGACCCAGTTTGGAGTTTTAGAAAGCAGGCATTCTTTATCGCAGCACTGGGCGCACAGGGGATTGCTCCACCTAGTGTGCGCCCCCACTTGCTCAACTACAAAGATTATATGCAATCAAAATATACATATTCATTAGATTTCCAAGAAATGATTAACATATTCATGCTACTTCCATAATGCATTAATACATGTAAATGTCCTTGACACATGCACATTTATGTCTATTGGTGGTCTTCCAGGGCTCTCTGGTGGTTGTTGATAGTCTTCCTTACCGTGTCCACTGACTGAACTCGGTCTTTGCGCATGCTCAGCTTGCCCTTTGGCCTAATTAGACAACACTTAATTACACATAAATAGCTCATTCTAGCATATACTCCTTGTCTACTCTATTCAAGGCTACTGTGTCTCAAAACTTCCTTTTATCTACCCAAGCATAGCACCTGTTTGACATATCTGCTCCTAAAACATCCTGAAATTTGGCTGTATTGCTCTAGGGAGGGAACCATGTCCTTCAGCTTGGTATCATAAGTTCCTATGTAGGTTTTGTCCTGGGATACACATATTCTTATGTTTTCAGTAGACTGCTCTGCATCTTCTGGATATTAAGTTGAGTGAAGGAGGAACCAATGCAATGTCTCCTTTAAATTACCCTAAACCATTGCAGCTATCAAGGTTTCCTTTGCACTTCTTTTTTTTTTTTTTTTTTTTCTTCTTAGAACATGCTTGTTAGCATGATTATCCTTTGCTGTAAAGGTCTTAGAAGTAATAACAAACAGCTGGTTTATGTGATTTTTTTGCTTCTTTCTCTGAAAGCTAGAATAAATCATAACCACCACTAATAAAAATCAAAACATTTTTTTTCATCCCCCGTTTTTTTTTTTTTTTTCACTGTCATTACCCTTTTTATTTTCTTACTCAAAGGATTAAGGTCATTTCATGAAGCTTTGAGTTTGTGTCCCATTTAGGAATTGATTGCTCTGTCTAAGCTGAAGCATGTGCTCTGTATAAACTCCTGCAATCTAGTCTGGAAAATTATTTAAGCAAGACTTCCCAATTGTTTAAAGGTTTATTACCGAAGATTCTGAACTAGACCAAAGTTTAAAATGAAAAATGCCTTTGCTTGTTGCTAACAGATTCTGGTTACTGGAGCATCACTGCTGTGTGTGAGTCTTGAGTTAGTGAGTTTTGTTGTGTCTGTGGTGTCTAATTCAGTGCTGTTATTCTGCAAGGAGTAAGAACAGAGTGGGATTTGGTCTGATCCTATTTCTTTTGTTGACTGAAATTCAATTAAGTGTGAGATCTTCCTCTGGTGTAAACATAACATCTTAACTCTGTGTTGGGTTTCTGAATTTAGTTTGCTCAGGTAGTAACAACTGCCAGCAGCAGCACTGGGGAATGTGCATCACATCTATAAGCAGCAGCAGCTTTCAAGACCAAAACTCTTTTCTCTGCTTCTAATTGCACACTTAACTTTCTGCATTATTCTCCCTACACCTATTGTCTGTTTAAAAGGCACTTGGCTTATATTGCAGGTAAGCATCTCCGAAAGGCATTGCTGCTGATGCTTCTCACTTTAGATTTTTCATACTAGCAGTAGTACCTGTACTACAATTTGCTCTAACTTGTTTATGTGCTTATAATTTATATTTATATTATTATTGAATATTCTAGGTCTATCTGGTGCTGGGAAGACTACAGTGAGCATGGCACTGGAGGAGTATTTAGTATGCCATGGCATTCCATGCTACACATTGGATGGTGACAATATTCGCCAAGGCCTTAATAAGAATTTGGGTTTCACACCAGAAGATAGAGAAGAAAATGTCCGTCGTATTGCTGAGGTTGCTAAACTGTTTGCAGATGCTGGTTTGGTGTGCATTACTAGTTTCATCTCTCCTTATACTCAGGTAAATGTGAAAACTTTCTAGAAAAAAAAAGAAAATGCAAAATGTCACTCACAATTTTAGTTACAGGAGTCACTTGCTGAACTTAGCCAGAATCAAATGCTTGGTTGTTTTTTTTTAAAGGCATTTGTGCTTTCTAGAGATGATTACTCAAATTTCAGAAACATGAATCTTAAATATAAAAAAGGTTTACATTAGTCCTATAACCGCAACTGTCCTTCAGTCCATTAGGCAGAATTATTAATCTAATATTAGGAACAAACCCAAATGATACTCCAAGAAAGCGTCTTAAAATTACAATATCTTGTTTGATCCACATAGATTCCAATACTTTATAAATACGAAGACTAGGTATACACTAAACCTGAAGACTCAGTTAAATTGTTTTTAAAAGCAACTTTTCCTTCAGTGAATGAATGGCATGATCTATATTTTGCCAAGTGGCTTAAGGGAGAAATGTTTAATTGCCCATAGTTCTTTTTACTTTATTTCATGCTGTGTATACAACATGACATTAGATAATACTGAAAGTTAACCTAAATCCACGTTCACATTGTGTTATGAAGACTTTCTTTTGTCTCTGGATGAGATGGGATGAGATGGATGGGAGAGACAAAAAGGGTGTGTGAACACCAAGTGTCTTGAAGAATGACCCAGGGGCTGTAGCTGAGACATTTCACAGCATGAGAAGGTGTTATTTCTCTGGTTATAGTGGTGCAGTTCTTCGGATAACAACTTGGGGAAATCAAGATTCTGCAGCAAACCAGAAGTCTTTAGATATGAGGAAAAATAACTGTATTTAGTAAGACATGGTTTTGGTGGATTTTTTGGAAGTTTTTTGTTCTCAAATGAAATTCACCAATTGTTTCACTGCTTGGCAAGCCATACACATAAGATAATATTTGGAGCATACAAGTCTTGTCAGATGAAAGAATATAGAGAAATCTGGTGCACTGGAGAGAAAAGCAGTCATATCAGGAGCAGCAGGTAGTACCTCCTCTGACTTTAGTGAGCTAGGCAGAAGTTACTCCTGAGATAGGGACAGGTATAGAAAATTCTGCACTCTATGCCTGGGTTTTCCTTTTTTTTTTTTTTTAATAGATCAGGTTAATGTAAAATATCTTATATCTTCATGTCAGCTTTTACCATGTGATGAACTGTAGCCAAACTGATGCTTTCAGGGCATCGGTTGATCAAATCATGTTTCTTTTTTCAAACTTCGAAAACTTGTTTACATTTTACAATCAGCTTTTTTAAAATGGAACTTTGAAAGCATAAAGACAATAACAATATGTGCGTGCAATCTTTCAGGGTTTTTTTCTGTTTTCTTTCAGGATCGTAATAATGCCAGACGAATTCATGAAGGGGCAAGTCTGCCTTTTTTTGAAGTATTTGTGGATGCTCCATTGCACGTCTGTGAGCAGAGAGATGTTAAAGGACTCTATAAGAAAGCCAGGGCTGGAGAAATTAAAGGTGAACCAAGATATCATCACGTCTTTCTACATAAGTGAAATATTGGTGTAATTTGGCTCCACATAAGTGAATGTGCTCAAATCTATGAGTGTACCACCCTTAAAAGCAGCAAGGACTGGGTACAGGACCAAGCAGAAAATTTGGATCGACTTCTAGCTTATGGAACAGACTGGTTAAAAGCATAGGGCAGTAAAAGGGCGAAACTGGCTATCCTCGTGGAAAAACCTTGAGCAGATTACATGGCTTCCTTCTATTGCAAGCTCTTAGGATTGAGGATTAGTCTATCTCCTTTGTGTGTCCATTGACTAGTTAAAAAAAGAGACTGATTCTCTCTAAAGTCTACAAATAATTGCATTGGTAAGAGTTACTAACTTCTTCCAAAAAGTAAAGCATGGTCGCCATCTTGCTGTAAAGACCACTCAGACCACTTCTGAAGAGACTAACTTTTATTTTGAAATTAGGATTCTATGCTAGTGCCCATGAAAATGATTTCCTATCCCTAGCCTCAGATCAAGATTCAAGTACAGCCTGCAATAAAGAAAGCTTAAATATGTGATCACTCATTGCAAGTATTGTTTCAAGTGCTGCTTTGCTCTGTGTTATATTATGGTTTGCAGAGGTTCACTGTAGTGCTTTTTACCTGTATTAAGAAGCAAAGCAGTTTTTAAAATAGTCACACTCAGGGGCTGAGTTTACAGATGCCGTAATGATGAACTCACCATTAATCAAAAATGATACAAAATTTCAGAAATATAAGACATTCCACATGACTGGTTGCTTGATACTTCCAGTACTATCAAATATATCATGCGAATACCACTAATAAATAATGCTGAACTAAGGTTTGCTCAGAATCAAAACAAGATGGCTTGAGATGGCATGATACAGAGAGATAGTTCTGTACAGAATCCTTATTTGTCCTGTAGAGCTTCCTTAATATTTTGTTAATTTTACAAGCTCCGTAATGGAATTGTGTTACTTTAGAAGTGGTATTGAGGTGTACAGTGCCTGAGTAATTTACAAGTGGGTCTAGCAGTGGGTGTATCTTACAGCCTATCTGGTATGTGAAGAATGAAAATTAAATTAACTTGCCTGTTCACAAGGAATGTCAGTAACTGTTGTCTTTTTCTCTGGCAATGGTAGTGGGAGACTTTCTTTTCCCCTATTCCAACTCCTCCAGTAATCAGATACTTACAAAGCATACAGGTTTTGGAACAGATACCAGCCTTTCTTTGTTGCATGGGGTACTAAAAAAATGTATATTATTCTTTGGTGGGGAGTTAAGCTGCTAATTTTGGGAGTATTTTAAGTCTGAAGTGAAAAACTTGAGTTCTAATGTTTGCGTTTGCAATTGTAGAGGATGCAGATGTTCAGCTGCTGTAGCCCAGCTAATATTTCTCCTACGGATCTGACTTGTAGTGCTTACATGCTTTGCCTTTGGGCTTGATTTTCACTCCCTTGTTTATGCATGGTTAGTCAGAATCTCCTGTTTCAAAGCATATTGCTAGCTAAGTAGGCCAGAACAAGTGTCACTGGTAGCTTGTACAGCTATGACAATCGTTATTATAACTATAATAAACACACACATCTACCTTAGGTTAACAGCTATCTTAAGATGGGTACATTATCTAGCCTAATGTAATAGGTGTTGGAATTCCTTACTCTTCAGAGTACTGCGTGGTGGCACGAGTAAATTTACATATATACTGGTCATTCAAAGTCAGACTTTGTGTTCAAAAAAAAAAAAACACCCCACAACAATCACAGCTGATGGATGACTAACTCTGCGTTGATGTGCACAGCTCTTCCGTCAGTGCTCCTTTCTTTATTCACAGTATAAATCAAATAACTTCACTAACAAAAATGTGCTATGTATGTGCTGCAGAATGCTAAAGTTTGATGCAGTCATGCAGGATTAGCAGATGGTCTGATAAAGAAAAAAAAGATTTCTTACAGAAATCAGTTAAGGAAGCTAAAACTCTGGGCTCTTGCCTGTTGTGTTGGTTTATATTTAGAAAACTGTCTGTGAACAATGTTAAAATGCAGTCATCTTTCGGAAAAGTCACTTAAGATTTTTGTCTTCTGTTCTGTAGGTTTTACTGGGATTGACTCTGAGTATGAAAAACCGGAAGCCCCAGAGCTTGTGCTGAAAACTGATTCCTGTGATGTGAATGATTGCATACAACAAGTTGTGGAACTACTTCAAGAGAGGGTGAGCAGAAAGGCAGATATATCTTTGTAACTTTTTTCAAAGCATTTGTGCCTGCAGTCTGAATGTATGTGCTGGGAAAAGCCGAGACAGTTTTTAAGAGTTAAAGGCTTACACATCTTTCAATTCTAGCTTTTAAACTTGTCCTATTTTGTGTTTCCTTTTTAAACCTAAACATTGCAACAACATTGATCTCTAAGTGAAATAAGATTTGGACATGTGGAAAATTAATTTATATTAATTATCATAAATGGTAACTGGAAAGGAGAGGTGATTGTCTCAGTTGTTACAGAACTGACAATGAATACTGACTTTGAAATTGGTTGCTAGTATTTGTAAGAGTCTGAAATTTTTTACTTTGTCTCTTTAGTGTACAAATTAATATATACTGCAGATGTGAAGAGACAGGGATGCATTTACACAGTAATTTGACCTGGCTTAAATAGGGGTTGCTGTGGTTGTGTCTGGTGTCCCTTGTTTCCACTGTTCTTACTGCACTAGTAAAAGTGGTCATGCAATTGTGTAATAACCAGTTCAGGAAGCTGATCTTCTTGACTAGGCTGAGTTGAGTTAATGGTTCACAGCTTCTGAAAAGGTACATCTCTTGTCGTTCATGCCTGCAATCTACACTATCCCTTTTGTAGCCTCTAGGCCTCCTCCTGTTGTCTGATAAGTGGATTCAGCTCATGACCCAACCTGGAAAAAAAGCAAACAAAAACCCAAACAAACAGAAAAAACCCAACAAACCACCCACAGAAAACAAAACAGACAAAAAACTCCAAGTCTCACTAAAAGTGAAGGCAGCCATGAGATGACTTTATCCTCTTGAATCCACACCCCAGAATTTTTTAATCTTCATGTAGAAGAAATGTATGTCCTTACATTCTTATCTATAGTCAGTGGGTAGTGGGATGACATTTCAGGCAATTTTTTAGTTTAGATACTCTAGCAGACGATTATTCATGTCTTTTTGTGAAGTGGATGTTCTGGAAATTTAGGGTGTAGGCAGTAGCTTGAATAAAGCTCCACCAAGTGTTGAAGTTGGTACAAAGCAAAGACCCCATCATGTAGCCAGCATAGAGTTAATTTTAGTGCTTTGTGCCAGTACAGCTCTGGAGAGATTTAGTCTCTTGTATCTAAATTTTCAAGAAAACTCTGTTAATAGATCACTGCTTGCTCAAGGTTGCTCAGGATATAAGACAGGGCAGAAAACCACAGCAGAATTCTAGATTTTTACCCTAGCACTTATCTGAATATTTTTTGAAAGAAAAAAGGAGAGAGCCGTGTAAGAGTCCTACCTATGGGAGGTGGCAGTTCCTGACTACGGGAGGCCCTGCGCCTCCTGCTCAGAAGAACAATTTAGTATGTTTCATAATTGTGGAAACTGATGTCACTTGTGCCAAGATAGTGATCCCCAAAGTCTTGCATTAGTACACTTGGTACACAGTGCTGAATGCTGGCTCCTGACCCAGTCAGCTTTGCTTTGTCCTTTGCTTAAGGCACATTTATTTTAGCCCTTTTTTTTTTTTCCCCCCTTTCTTTGTAGACAACAGCTTCATGAATGCCAAGATGTCTTAGTGATTGCTTACTTTAATGAGACACAATGAAATCAAGGCACGGCTGAACAGGCGTGTCTCATTCTCAAGCCACGTTAATACAGAGATATTTTGAGAATATGATTTCTGTAGGTTTCCTTTAGTTATGTTCTTCTTTAATAATCCCTTGTGATTAGTAAAGAAAAAGACCATAGGCCAGCAGCATCAAAAATAATTTGAGGTGGTCTTTTTGTTTCAATAGCTGTGAAAAACTTTGGGAAGAAGTCCGCTCAAAGTATTGGTAATCCTTGAATTTTAAGGTCTGTTTTTATACTAGTTCAGACAATAATGGCAGTAAAGAGAAGACAGGTAAAACTGTATAAATATACGTTCAGATAGATAGACAGATATGCACATGTATATTTATTAAACAAGAATTTGAAACATTGTTCTTTTACAGGTAGTGGAATTATTTGTATTTTAGAATTTTTCATTATATTTGAAAAGAACTCTGAAACAAATTAATCAGGTCATTTCCAGAAACATGTTCAATCCTTTATGGAAGAAAAAGGGAGGTAACCACACAGAAATAGGAGTAATAAGCAGCTGTTGAATCTGGAAAGTTCTTGTGTGGCCTAACTCTGTTTTGAGGGTCACCTGGTTTGGTTTCTTTGCATGTAAATGCAACAAATACTTCAAAATTTTGTTAGGGACCTAGAATGCAAGGTACTGATGAGCATCTCCTAAAGCTACCTAGTCTGAGTTATATGGAAAGTTCCTTGTTTTTTTTTTTATTTTCTTTTTTTTTCCCCCCCCAGCTGCTTTCAGTACTATACAAATTAGTGCTTGGATGCTTTTTTTTTTTTTTTTCAGTCAGAAACACTCATGTGGCTTTTGAGCTTGATATATTTGGCTTTCAGTCTGCTGATACTTTCCAATGGAGTAAGGCAAGCCTGGTGTGGGTCTTTGGCCGTAAAGATTTCATTGTTTTTGTTCTTGTTTTTCCTGTCAAAATATAGCTGATCTAGCTCATTGCACAAAATTTGTATTTCCTTACTATGAAATACATTCAATATTTAGCCTGGAAAATATTTTCTGAAGAAGTCACAGCTCAGGAAT